AATGATCCATAGTTCTTTAGGTTGGGCTAAACCAATGTAATAACTCATGGATGGTCCATGGAGGTTTAAACCCATGGATCCTAAGGAGTATGGAAGGTCATGCACATTAGGGTTTGCATCGTGTAACCCTAGTTTTGGCATACTTTATAAGAAACCCCTTGGCTACCAAAATTGGCACCTAAGTGAGCTTAGAAGAGTGCTAACCGAATTTGTGAAGAAAGTAATCCGCTCTCAAGTCCTCCATTATTGGTGGTGTTGTGTGAAACATTTGAGGCATCACATTTGGGGTGCTAGGCTCTTAAGGGTCTCAGGTTCTCATGCTACTGTCAGGTTCTGAGAATTCTAACACTCCTATGGTGTGCATGCAACCCTAGAAACCTTGGATCTATGTTTTCTCTATTATACATGCAAACTTTCATTTTACCAAGGTTTCATCCTAACTAGCATATCATTGGGTATATTGAATACAAAATTCTATTAGAATGACATACCTTTCTTGTAGCTTTGATTCCTTAAGACTTTGTGAGCCTAGCACCCAAATGTGATGCCTCGAATGTTTCACACAACACCATCAACAATTGAAATAAATTGAGAGAAGATTATATTGCACCCTAATTAGCTAGCCCTCACTTGTGTATCTTAAAGTGCCAATTTTTATAGTATGAGGCTTCTTTGTATAGTGCATATATTAGGGTTACACCATGTAACTCATGACGTTCCACATTGATCATGATCCATGGGTTTTAACCTCCACGGAGTATCCATGGTTCACCACATGGGTTTAGCCCAACATGAAGAACTAAGGATCATAAGCCCACTTTATAAGAATGAATGATTTACAAAATCAATCCACATTTATTTAATTAGTCTCTTTTGATCTCAAAATTAACTCCGAACTAATTCTTGATCAATACTAATTAAATAATATGATTTCATATTAATAGATTAGGACTTATAATATATTAATGAATCATAAATATCCTCTTCTCACAAAAGTCTATCCAAATAATTCCGATGTCATGTAACCTAAATGGAACATGCTAAATTGGGTCAAGTACATTCCAAATATAGTTATGGAGTTAGACACCTTATCCAACAATCTCCCACTTGGATATGTCTAATAACTATAGCTGCAAGTACGACTTCAGGATCCAACCAAAAATCGTTGCTCTTAAAAGTCTCGTGGAACTAAGTTATTCCGTTTTAGATAAATGGTCATATAATCCTCTGTTCTCCACATATCAATCGGACAAATACATGGAACAATGTTATACTTATTGTCCAACAGTTTGTTTCCCAATTTCCGATCTTTTTGACATAGAACTCAATCGAACATATCAATTCAGTTCTGATCGGGCCTTGTACATAAGTCAAAACAAAATCACCGAGGGGCCTAATATATCACTTTTAATCTTCCAAGGACTAAAAGGAATAGATAAACTTTGACTCATAAGCTTGTACTAACTAATCATCAAATTGTACACAACAACACATTTTATAACATTGAGTTACTGATGCATTTTTGTACAATAGATGTACAACCAACTCATAGTCAACAACTCATATCTCTTGGGTTAAAGACTTATATGATATTACCGGCTCATAGTCACTCGATATAAATTCCATGAAGTGATACAAGTGAGCGTGGGTTGAATCCAATACTCATAACTTATGAGCATTAATGAATGTTGCAGCAACAATTCCTATGTCTAATAAAATTTAGACAAATCTATAAACCCAATTCATGACAGTCTTATTTCAACATCTACTTCCAAAGTATGATCAATTGTGGATAGTTTGAATATTTTAAATATTCTGTAAGTTAAAACATGCAAAAGGAAACAATAGTAAATGATTGACCCAAGATAGTACCATATTAGTAAATAAAAAACACATTTTAATTAAACATCAAATGTCAATTACATTTCAATTATTACATGTTTTGAAAGCCATTTAATTACTAAAATTAATATCATTGTTCAGCCCAATGCGCCTCACATGATGTAAATGCTTAACCCTACACTTTCCCTTCATGATGGGATCTCATTTGATGATACCCTCTTTGCCACGTGGAGTCCTTCCTTTATTCGATGTCTAATGAAATGGTATTTTCTGTCGATGTAATTGGATCTACCGTGATCCCTTGGTTCATTGGCTTAGAAAGCTGGACTCTCATTGTCACAAAAAATCTCTATAGGCTCCTTTATAGCTAATACAACTCCAAGGTCTCCAATGAAGTTCTTCATCCATATTTCCTCCTTTGCCGCCTCGCTTGCTACTATCTACTCTGATCCGCACGTTGAACCAGCTACTGTCTTCCGCTTGGAACTTTTCCAAGTAATTTCTCCTCCATTTAAGGTAAAGACCCAGCCTGAGTGAGAGCGGAAATTATCCCTATTAGTCTAAAAGCTGGCATCACTATACCCCACTACTCTCAAGTCATAACTCCCACCAAGGGTAAGGACCCAATCCTTAGTCCTCCGTAGGTACTCGAGAATGTTCTTCACCATAGTCCAGTGAACCTTGCTAGGATTCCCTTAATATCTGCTGACCAAGCTCAATGAAAAGGCCACATTAGGGCGAGTACATGTCATAGCATACATGATCGAGCCTACAGTGGAAGCATATGGTACTCGACTCATATCAGCTATCCCAGCCTCTGTACTCGGGCTCTGAGTCTTACTCAGTTTGGCGTTACTCTGGATCGGTAAGTCACCTTTCTTGGAATCCTGCATGCTGAACCTATTCAGCACCTTATGCAAGTAAGTACTTTGAGAAAGTCAAATTAGTCTCTTACTCCTGTCTCTCAGTATCCTTATCCTTGGGATATAGGCAACTTCTCTAAGGTCCTTCATAGCGAAACAATTCTCAAGCCAAGACATAACCTCCTACAAGGTTGGAATGTCATTTCCTATGAGTAGTATGTCATCCGCATACAATACCAAAAATCTAACTATACTCCCACTAGCTTTAACCTATACACAGGACTCATCCTCCCTCCTCGAAAAGCCAAAATCTTTTACTTTCTCATCAAAACAAAGATTCCTTTTGTAAGATGCTTGTTTTAATCCATGGATGAATTTGTCAAGCTTACACACTCTATTAGGGTACTTTGCATCGACAAAACCCTCTAGCTGATTTATGTAAACATCCTTGGCCAACTTTCCATTAAGGAAATCGGTTTTGACATGCATTTGCCATATTTCATAATTATGAAATGCAGTTATGACTAGCATAACCCCAATAAACATAATATTCGTTATTGGTGAGAAGGTCTCATCATAGTCAATTCCTGGAGTTTGAGTAAAGCCCTTCGCAACCAGTCACACCTTGTAAGTGTGTACCTTCCCACACATGTCGGTCTTCTTCTTGAAGATCCATTTGCACCCAATTGTCTTACGACCCGGTACATTTTCAACCAAGTTCCAAACGTGATTGTCATACATGGACTGAATCTCGCTGCCTATAGCCTCTTTCCATTTGGTAGACTCAGGGCTTGCCATGACTTCCTTGAAGTTGTTAGGTTCATCCAAATTTATCAGTGTACTATCATTGATCAAAGCATCATCTTCTTTAGTAATATGGAAACCATAATAAAAATTAGGTGTGCTCATGACTCTTGTAGAACGCCTCGGAGGTATAGACTCATCAATTGGCTCAACAGGAGTTTCCTCCTTAGGTTGACTGCTAGTGTTTGAAGTTCCTTCACCGCTTGACTCTTGAAGTTCTTCAAGGTCAATTTGTCTCCCGTTGTTTCTTTGGCTTATGAATTTCCTTTCACGAAAGATACCTCTCCTCGTTATGAAGACAACATTGTCACTCGGTCTACAAAAGAGATAACCAAAGGATATCTGTGGGTAGCTGATGAAAATACACCACTCACTTCGAGGTTCGAGCTTGTCGTGAGTCTTGCACCTCACAATATCCTCGCAACACCAAATCTTGATGTGGTCTAAAGTGGGAACTTTCCCAGTTCAGATCTCGTGAGGTGTTTTGGCATCCTTTTTTGTAGGGACTAGATTAAGGATATGGGCGACACTCTTTAAGGCATATCCCCATAATGAGATTGGTAATGAAGTTCGACACATCATGTAACAAACCATGTCTAACATGGTTCGATTGTACCTCTCAGCCACACCATTCAGCTGTAGTGTCCTAGGAGGCGTCAATTTTGGAACAATTACACATTCCTTAAGGTAGTCAAGGAACTCGATACTAAGATACTCACCACCCTAATTGTATCAGAGCATCTTTATCTTCTTGCCCAACTGATTCTACACTTATTGTTTAAAATCTTTGAACTTTTCAAAGGTTTTTGACTTATGATTGATTACGTAGATATAGCCATACCTATCTAATCATCAGTAAAAGTCACATAGAGGTAGTTAGCATCCCTTGTGGTGATTTTGAAGGGTCCACACACATCTATGTGTTTGAGGTCCAACAAGCCTTCACCCCTAGCACAAGTACTAGTGAAGGTGACTTAGTCATTTTTCCAAGTAAAAAAGATTCTCAACTATCATCTGACTTTAAGTCAAATGAATCCGAGACTCTAGCCTTTTGGAGTTAGCCTATGCGCTTCTTGTTGACATATCCAAGAAGATAATGCCATAAGTATGCCTTATCTAAACTAGTGGAAAACTTAATATGCAATACATTATTTCCTAAATTGTCTACAACCAACACAATTTCATACACACAATAACAAGGTAATGCTTTAAAATAAAAAACACGATTATGAAAAGCATTAATATCACCACATTCATTATCAAATGAAAAAGTAAATCCTTGTTTGTACAAACCATGAAAGGAAATAATATTTCTTGCCATTTCATACGAGTAACAACAAAAGGGGGGAGGGGGGGGGGGAAGAGGAGCAGAGAAATTCCATCATTCTCAATGAAAAACTCAAGCATTTTCTTGTGACCTCTCCAAGTGGCACTCATCCCACCGGCGACCAAGAAGAATTCAAGCCAATCTTCACTATTGATGTTGATCTTCTATAGGATATCATCCAGTTCCTTGTAAGCACTAAACAATGTGGGAGCACGGTCGACATACACCTTAGCCCTCAAGTAACTTAGCACGATGATATCGTTGTTCACCCATAAGAACTTCTCCAACCAGTTATTCTTGGACTTCTTATCATGGATAAATGTAGGGATTCCCCGCCGGCGAGAGAGGGTTCTGACTGATTAGAGGTATTTAAAAGTGCTTGAAAGCCAGAACAATTAGCAGGCAACCGAGGGCACGATAGAGGAGTTCAAAACCTACTATCTTGTTTATAGCGATAGGGGACAACTCTCTAACTGAAAACTCGTATTCCCAGATGATCAAGTTGAAGAAATCAGTGGTGGGCAAGAACAGACCTGCCTCAAACAAGGTGATTGGGTTATCGACTTTTCCCTTAGGAGGACTGTAAAGTGATGCATCGGGTAGGGGACTTGCACTCCGTGTTCGGGAACAAACCTAAATCGGAACTCAAAAGATTCCCATTCTTTAGTGGTAAGATCTCTCCCCAAAGTGCTAGTGGTAGCCATGAAAAATATGAAGAATGGGTTGAAAGGGTTTTTCTTAAGAACAAGAGGTCAAAGAGAGACAAGTAGAAGGTAACAAGGAGACGCAGGAAGAATAGAGCCTTAAATGCCACAAAAGGGGCAGCAAACCGTTTTCATTATGAAACAGCATAACAACGCCGATTTCGCCTTGCCAACTGCATAGGCTATCGATAGTAGACTGCCACATGTTTGTGGGTAGACTAGAACAACTCTACTACGGCACGAAAGCAGAAGGCTACTGGTCTAATGGACTTGTTCACATTACCACAAATGACCACATTAAATGTAACGCAAAACGTAACATAAATGTTACAACACCAAAATCTTGGCCTACACGCAGTCCCGACCTAAGGGAACCACGAACGGGGCGGTGATTCACTTTCCTTCACAAGGAAAGAATATTCCTCGTGATGCTCTCATTCACTCACTACCAATTAGGACACGACAAGAGGCTTAGGTGACGCCCAAATTTGATGTCACCAAGCAGTTAGTTAACGTGGGCGTGATCCTCCCAGTTAGAGGAGGGCACATCTCACCCTCATTGGACGAGGTCCCCATGATCCGTTAGAAAAAGGTAAAAAAGGATCTTTTCCGCCTCAAGAAAGGGATCCATCTTCTCTCTCACGAATATTAACCTAAAAATTACCTCTCCCAGAAAACTAACATGATCGTCGGAGCGACATCCCGGGAGAATATCCAGACGTCCTTTAATGATTATTTTGTGTTTGTGTTCTCAGGAAAGCCTCTAAGACAAATCCATAATCCTACATCCATACCCCTATGGAACATGACACAACAGTCGTATAGCGTTCAGTTTAACATCAAGTTAGTGTCGAGATGGTTTGGGTAGTCACTGCCTGTGAGGCTTTTTGTCGAAGGATGCAAGGGGTAGCTGTGTGGGAGTCTTTGACTCAACAACTGGGCTGGAACTCGGTAATTAAGTTGACTAGAAAACGAATTGGGACTTGGGTCATCTTAGTGGATTTTTGAAAACAGCCACGAGGCAGCGTGATGCTTCGGGAAATATTAGTACTTGGGGATTCATGTATGTGTGGAGATGCTTGTTGATCAAAAGTGCTAAGTCACTTGCAGTTTTGGATTAAATAATGTTAGAGTAATTGATTTGACACTGTTGTGCAACTATCGTCTGAGTCTAACCATTGCAGGGATGAATCTTCTACTTGCAGGATTATCTGAGCCTTTTGTCAAGAATAAGTGTTATGGAAGGACATTTGGTCTGTGACACTGTTTTCTAGTGGGAACCTCGAGTTATCAGAAGTTAAGTAGTCAGTTGTGAGATAAGTGGACTGGGCTTAATAATAATGATTAAATATGGGCAGTTTATCAGTGAGTTAGACCATCTCGAGTTATACAGCCTTGCAAGGGTTGGTACCAGTTACCTTGGAAAGGCTAGGGTATGCTCGAGATTTTGACCATGTCGCTCAAGTTGTTTGGCGTGACAAGAATGGTAACAAATGATTTCGAGGACGAAATCTAATTTAAGTGGGGATGAATTATAACATTTCGTTTAAATTAAATAAATAATAAAACCTAAAGCTCAAGATGTAAATTTTATTTTATTTAGCCCTACCTTCATGATAGGGAATTAGTGATAACCAAGGCGGTTAAAAGAAGTATTTTTGGGTAATAGGGGTTAAAGTGTGGCTTTTAGACTAGTTATGAATAGATTTTTGGATGCTAGGGGATGATTGGTAACTTTTTTGACTTATTATGAAGGGATTTTTAGAGGCAAGGGGGTAATTTATGCACTTAAATTGAAAAGGATTTTCTGGAGAGGGACCAAAATTGGAAAAAAGGAATGAAGTTTGGAATGGAACACGGGACATGAACCCGGTGGTCTTTTCACTCCCATCTTAAGGATCGTTACCTTCAACCCTAACACTAGCACATGTTTCCTCAGCCGCCATATAAGTCCCTTTAGCCGCCACCACCGACTTTGCTCGTTTTGCTATCAATCGAGCCGTCGAGCATCGCGGATTCTACCTTCCGGCGAGATAAACTTGACGGCGCGATAGTTGGGTGTGTCCGCTACCACCATTACGCCATCCTACTGCTTTTTCTTCTTCTTCTTCTTCTTCTTCTCCTTTTCTGTCACTGTTCACAGCTGCACTCGGCTGTTGTCAGTGTTGTTCCAACTTCCCTTTTTGCTTCTAACATTGTTCTGCAGCAGTTAGCCACCGCCATCGCTCGTAGCACTTAGCTTATTAGTTGCTCTGGTCGTGGTTCACCACTTTAAGGCGGATTAGCATCGTTCACATTTGTGTGTGCTTGCGAGTATGTGTGTTGTTGTAAAGTGTTCAGTCGTATGTGTCTGTAGATGGTCGGAAATCACAAACAACCACCATGGCAGCCAATCATTGTGGCTACCACCATGACTGTCTACTTTTGCTGCCACCAGCCACCGTGAGTGGGTGGCTATGTGTGATATGGTATTTATTTTTGTGTTACCTTGGTATGGGCCGTATGAGCGTTTCTCCATCGTAAAACTTGAACCAAAACACCCTCCACCACCTTGAGGTGATGGCTGCCACCTCATACCGCTATTCTGCTGTCATGAGCCGCTACCTTAGGTGGATGTGGGCTTGTGTATGTGTTTGGTCTGATGAGTGAGAAGCTTGTGATGTTGTTGGGCCTAAAAATCATAACCACCAGCACCGTGAGGTGGTGGCTGCCGTCGTGGACCGCCATCGACCACCATTACCTGAGGGGGAAGTGGGTGGTGCCCGACTTATCAGGATCTAATAAATGTAAAATTTTAACCAATTGACTAGTTGGGTTTTTATTGTGTTGGAAACCCTAATTAGGAGTTAGAAAACCCTAATTTTGGAGATGCTAGTTTTGGAATTGTATGTTTGGCATAGTGGAATGATCGACTTAATGGATTAAGTACTTAATGGGTTAAGTAAGAACACTTAAGCCTAATCGTCATTTTATGTGAAAACCTTAATTATGTTGAGCTTCACATTGGGCCTTTTCTTTTGGGCTTAGGTTTTTGAGTTCTTAATGGGCCATCCAAGAACAAGTATATGGACTAGAATGCTTGGATTAGCTTTAGGGTAAGGCTCATGTTAGGGTTTTTGGCCCAATTTGGAAAATTGGGCCATAATTGGGCCCTGGTTGATTATTTGGCTTTCGCGCCTTCAGAGTGTGAGTTTGGGCCTTGGTCTTGGATCAAGCTAGGCTAGGGGTAAAATGGTCATTTTACCCCCATTTTACCCTAAGTGTGGATTTATGGTTAAGCATTGAGGCCCAAATGGTTAATTGGGATTTGTTTTAATGTTGAAAGTTCGGGGATTTTTCAGGCAACAGCCAGAAAACTATCCGCAGGACTTTAGCAGGGCGAGGTGAGTTTCGTGTTGTATCAACAGGTCCAAGGCACCAATGCGGGCCTGTATATATATGTTTGTATGTTCTGGACTAAGGTATGATGCTGGGTGCTGCTCGATGAATGTTTATATGCTTTCTGGACTAGGGTTCGATGTCTGGCAATCCCGAGGAATATTTGTATGCTTGATGTCTTCGTGATTATTGTATGTGTTTCGGACTATGGTCTGATGTCGGGCGGTGCCCGATGTAGGTTTATAAGTTTTGCGGATTATGACGATGTCGGTCAGTGCCCGAGTAATGTTTGTATGCTTAATGTCATCATGATTCTTGCATGTGTCTGTATTTGTATGTTTCTAGATTTCGGTCTAATGCCTGGCAATCCCCGAGGAATGTTTATATTCTTTCCAAATTATGGTCTGATGTCGGACATAGACCGAGGAATGTTTATATGCTTATGTTATATGTTATGTGAGTATTCTATGTGTATTTGTTTATATTTTTATATGTATACCTTGCTTTGCTCGATACCAGATGGGGACCGATGGCAGACACTATCCGATGTCGGACGGGTCCTGATGCTGGGCGGGGCCCGATGAAGTGGTCAGGGCCCATGATATTTTATTATCTGCTTATATAATTGTGTGTATCGTATGTGGTAGTATGGGGAACTCACTAAGCTTCGTGCTTATGGTTTTCAGTTTTGGTTTCAGGTAGTTCTGGTAGCAAAGGGAAGAGGTTGGGATAACTACATTACACACATCATGATGATTTAGCATGGGATGTTTACTCTGATGTTTTGATACGATACTCTGATTTGATGTTGGAATAGTATGACTTATTTTTTTGATAGAATGATTTTAAGAACCATGGTTTTATTTAATGGTTTAAAATAAAATAAAATTCATGATTTTATTGGATGTTACAAACATGTATCCATTAGATATCAACATGATCATTAGCAAGCCTCAACTATGTCTTCTATCATAGGCCATTCATGACATCAGTTGGTTATGGCATCGAAGGCTTGATGATCTTGTTTCCGGTGAAGTGGTCAGAGGTCTGCTAAGTACATTCTTGTGATTCTTAATGATTTTACAAGGTCACCTAGGTCTTCTTCCTTAGGCTGAAATCTAAGACATCCTTGAAACCTATCAACTTTATCAAATGAATTGAAGTTCTCGTCAAACTACCTGTAAGACGGATCCGAAGTGATAATGGCTCGGTATTCACCAATGTCACCATTGATAAATTCCTCTCCGATAAAGGCATCAACAACAATTTCTTTTCTCCATACACTCCTTAACAAAACGGTGTGGTTGAAATAGGAAACAAAACTCTTGTTACAGCTTCTCGATCGATGCTTAACTTTTCAAATCTTCCACTTTATCTCTGGATTGAAGCTGTGTCCACTTCCCGCTTCACACTAAAGTGAAGCATCATCAATCAACGCCTCAACATGACACCGTATGAAGCCATGAATAGTTGCTAGCCGGGTATCTCATTCTCACACGTCTTTGGCTGTAGGTGCTTTATCAAAAACAACTATGACTAACTCATGAAGTTTCAACCTAAAGCCAATGAAACGATCTTCTTGGGATACTTAAAAAAGTACAAAGCCTACTGAGTTTTGAATCATCCGACTCGTGTTCTGAAGAAAGCTTTGATGTCACCTTCGATGACAATTATGTTGGATTACAGGCCTAACCCATGTTACTACCGATATCATGAAGTCAGATGCTCCATCTCCAAGATGTCCAAAAACTTAAATTATCCATGAAGTTGACTTCAAGAACCTGTTCGAACCATCAGAAATTGCTCTTGATTTGGAATCTCGATCAAGACTGTCCTCATCAAATGTAGCTCCAATTTCCCAAAATCTTTTTGGTCCAAGTCCCACTTTTCCTTCATTTGCTTCCAATCTCTTTCAGCTTTCTCAGGTTGAGGGGAGAATGGGCATCCCTCTCTTGAATCAAATGTTGAAGGATTCCAAGATACAGCAGATCAATTCTCCGAATTCAATCCTATTCTGAAAAAAACGAAGATGATGCCAACTTCTTTGACTTTTCCAAATGAAGATGAGGTAAATATATCCAGTTCATAAGTTCAGTGGGAGCATCATCCTCAAATTCAAAATGTTCAGGGGGACCAATATAACCCCACTGTTGATTTCAGATCATCCACTACGCAAGAGATTCCGAGATTACATACATGGATAAAGGATCATCATCCAATGTCACACCCCAAAACCGGAACGGCGGAAACGTTCTGGGGTGTATGATGTCATGTCAAGTATCACAACACATGCATTATAGTAATCAAAGTACAACAAAACATTGCATTAATAGTAATAGGTTTACATAGTTTACATAACAGGGTATCAATGTAATACAAACAAATGTAATAAGAACAGCATGGTACTAAGCTCTCTTCATCAACAGCTCCAGGGATGTACCTGTCTAATGCTAACCTGAGAATACAAGTTATTTGAAAAGCGAGTATCATCATTTTTCAAATGCTGGTGAGTTCATAAGTAATTAGTGATATTTTATTCAAATAACTTTATAATGTAGTAGTTTAAGAGTTTATAGTGTATTAGAGTTCTTTCCAGAAAATCCTATATTTTCTTTAATAAAAGCAGCCTTCTACCAAGACTGGACGGAGTTATGTGGTAAAAAGCAGTTTTCCCTTAATCACTCTCATTATCAAAATACTGAATTTGATTATTAAAGGAATCAAGAGAAGTCAGGGAAATAACATATGCCTCAGTAGTGAGGACTGCTGACTAAGGCAAAGGAATCATAGACTCCAGGAGAGTATCGAACGAATGACACGCCTAGTTCTGTCTAACAAATGGAGACACAGACCCCAGAAGGTACCAAATGAAAGGTACAACTGGTAAGGTCCAAAACAGTGAATACAGACCGTAGACACTATCAAATGAAAGATACATCTTGCAATGTCAAAACAGAGAATACAGACCGCAGACAGTATCAAATGAAAGATACATCTTGCAAGGTCAAAACAGAGAATACAGACCGCACACAATATCAAATGAAAGATACATCTTGCAAGGTCAAAATAGAGAATACAAACCGCAGACATTATAAAATGAAAGATACATCTTGCAAGGTCAAAACAGAGAATACAGACCACAGACAGTATCAAATGAAAGATACATCTTGCAAGGTCAAAACAGAGAATACAGACCACAGACAGTATCAAATGAAAGATACATCTTGCAAGGTCAAAACAAAGAATACAGACCGCAGACAGTATCAAATGAAAGATACATCTTGCAAGGTCAAAATAGAGAATACAGACCGCAGACAGTATCAAATGCAAGATACATATTGCAAGGTCAAAACAGTGTGACTCTGAAAATGAGTTACCAGCATACAGTGTAAATTGCCGGTGAAATACTGTTACCTTAAGGCCATGAGTTATAAGGTAACCCGGGATACTCGTAACCATACTGACTAGAGTTCCAGACGCCCTACAAGCATTTATAAATATGACATTTGTCACCCCTTGGCTTGGTGGACCGTGGACTGTAGCTAGCAGTCAGGGTGCAGGGGTGTCAATCCCGTATAGATCTATACACACAATGTCCACTCTCCCTACAGGAGACTCTGGTTACCAACTAGACGACGGAGAAGGCCGTGTCCTGAAGATGCACCCCAAATAGTGGGTAGAGACTTCCAAATAGTGGGTAGTGTGTTTCTAATGTAAGTACTGAAATAGAGGTAGAGACTCATAATTGAACTGACTAAAGTAAACCCATATGTCTATGCTTGTGTACATAATATATAACTAATGAATCGAACGACCTTCGGATGGACATCCGATCCCACCAGACCACATCTCAACGAAGAAAAGGAAATAGGGCGTACAAGCCTTCCTAAGTCCTTCAATCATTATTTATATGCATCTATACAAGCACAGGCATACATCTAACTACGCTTGAGTGTGTATCAAGTGGAATCATATCGTGAAGTATAAATGTACAGTGTGGAATAACCGACTTGTGAAGTATAAGCGTAAAGTGGAATAACCGAGTCGTGAAGTATAAGCGTACAGTGGAAGAACCGAGTCATGAACTATAAGCGTACAGTGTGGGATAATCGAATCGTGAAGTATAAGTGTACCAAGTATAAGTGTATCACGAAGTGGAAACGACAACTGGTGAAGTAAAAGTGTTTATCAAGTATAAGTGGCTACAAGTATAAGCGATATAGAGACAATAACCGGTATAAGCATTTCACGAAGGAAATGCATTATCAAGCAGGAGTTTACAATAAGTGAAAGCGAAGCAGCGGTAACTAACAAGTATAAGTATACGACGTGAAAGGGAAATTTGACGA